CCGGGAAATCATGTAGGTATCTTCGTTACACATCCATGTATCCCTCTGCCTGCAAGAGCATCATGCATGAAAGAAACGATCTGTGTGAAGTGAAGAATACTGAATATACATTGATATAAGGACAACAAGTGCCCCTGTAAACGGTCCAGCACGTAACCCCCATTGTTCGTCACAGAAAAAATAGGGTCACCCTGTATAAAGAGTAGTCTCACTCACTCAGATCGTATGATTAATTGAGGCGTCGCGACGGCGCTGGCGACGCCGACGGCGGAGCGGAATCCAAGCCAGTGGCTTACGTCGGTGGTCGGTGGTCTAGGTGCTGCTGGTACCTGTGAACAGAAGAAGAAGAGTGTCCCAATTGTGAGCGCGCGCCTCTTTTTATTACCGGTCGTCGCGCGTCGTGCGGTTCTTTTGGATCGTACGTTTTCAAGCAAGGTCACGAGCAAAATAGTATTTAAATTAATTGTCCTGTAAAATTAATCCGGCCAAAGTAATTAAATTAGAGCCGCGGTAGCCATCATTAAAATACCCGGAAAATTATGTAGCTTCGTTAAACACTCCCTCTTTTTCGCTGCTTTCCGAAGACGAGGGAGTGTGTAGCGAACTTACTAAATTTTTCGTGCATCCCGGTCACTCAATTAGTTAAAAATTAGCGCGGGTTCAACCAACCGGGTTTTATGAGACTCACCGCAGGGTGGAACTAGATTCTGCGAGTCGTTGCAACCCGCTGCAGTTCCCCATGTCCGTGCGACCTTCGTGTCGCCCGCGCCGGTTGAGTACGACGCGCGATCGTCACCATACCCACACTGCTTGCGCGCAACCATCGAAGCCGGTACCAGGGTTTTCGGCTATAAATAATATAGCCGCGTCGCAAAAGAACGGCCAGCTTATTCTGTACCTTGCGACCGCAGAGAATTGCGCAATTGTCGCTGTCCAGTTGCTGTCAAACGCGAGTTTTCCATTCTAAAAAAGCAACTTGCGACCGGTTGCTGGTTGCTATGTAATTGCTATTCGGAGAGAATAGGCCTGCCGGCATTCTGTTTCAGATTCCGATTCCGACACCAGCACCGACCAGAACAGCCACCAGCCAAGGTACGCCGACATCATCAGCTCCATCCTCCGCCGCCTTCAGCCCGCCGCGACGCAGTCAACAATGATATAGGTAAGTAGAGTAAGAGGGCAGGTATTTTCTTCTAGGGGGCATAAAGATCATAGATTGTATATGGTGCTGCCGGACCGATTACGGGGCTCTCTATCTTTTCCATGACGAAGCAAGGGGGAGACATTTATCACCAGAAGTTGGTAAGAAGATGATGGCTAGTGCGCACACTCCCCTTTTACTATTTACTATTCGGTAAATACGGCAAATCTTCAGAAATATTACGAAATGTGGCAACCTGGCAACCGGTACTAGATACTAATATTTTAGTAGTAAAATAAGATTCAGCAACCTTGATTCAGTCGGAAAGATGGTACGAGACAATTCACGCATGTGCAGCGAAAATTGTTGTGAAAAATCGTAACGGAGAAGCCGGTTTCTGTGAAATCACATCAATGGGAAATTGGGGATAGTTTTAGGATGGAATAATGAAATCAGCGACCTGGGATGACAAGAAAATGAACGGTAGCTCAAATTATGATATGCGCATGCGTTTACCAATACTTCCCAAAAATAGAGAACCTCGGTCCACTGCGGTGCGAAAGACAACAGGGACATCTTCCACGGATGGACAGCATTGGTCAAGACTCAAGACCTCCAACTTATGGGGCGGATGAAAAGGCATGCGCCGAACGGTCCAATAGGAGCGGTTCATTCGGTCCGGCGCTATGCGGTCTGGCATTCACATAAAAAAAAACGGTACGGTCATGGTCACACCTACGGGCGTCGCCAAAACAAACGGCCTCTCGGTGGAAACGGGGACTGATGATGACGTATTCACCTCGGTCATCATAAGCTGCTCGGGCTCCAAATGTGTAGGGCTACTTTGGTTTTCCGGACGGTTAAAGGGGTTTTTCAAAAACTCGGGCGCCAGCCTTAGGATTATAGTGGTTAAGGGCCCACGTGCTACAGTTAGCTTGTTACAGTGGAGACGGAAAACCAAAGGTCAATATGCGCATCCGAAACGCACATAAGATAAAAGGAACAGTGAAAATGCAATTAACTGAGAGACGAAGAGCGGCAAGAGTGAACGAAGCTGGTGAAAATAACGTGTAAATATTTTGTACCTACGTGGCGGAAAAATAGGGGTAATAAGATCGCGGAAAAATAACGGTATCGGTGAATAGCTTCAAGGGATTACTGTTGCTAGGCTGCCGTACTCTTACCAACTTCAGCTCATATTCCAGGCGCATGCGCGAACTATGCAACTGAGTAGAGTGCAGGTGTAAAGAAAAGAGGACAGAATTAGAAAGATGCGTCACTCGATATCAGTTCGGTCTGAGACGTCTCCACTAATCCTCTATGGAGAGAATAGAGCGTTAACGTTATTCAATCCGCAGTCCAAAACATGACATAAGTATGGGAATGGAACCAAGAGAGATGCCCCGTAATGGGTCCGGCAGACGATCTCTTGACTCGTCATGGAAAGATCAGAGCGCCCCGTTATCGGTCCGGCAGCAACCCCGTGCAATTCATGTTTCCAATAAATATGCCAATGAGAAAGAAGTGTCAGAAATATAGGGATAGAAGCAAGGCTGCACCCCCGTAATCGGTCCGGCATATACCCGCTTGCCTCATCATGGAAAGGATAAAGCACCCCGTAATCGGCCCGGCAGCAGTCCTATACAATCTATGATCTTTATACCCGTTAGAAGAAAATACTTGCCTCACTCTACTCAACCCAATACCATTGTTGACGACGTCGCGGCAGGCTGAAAGCAGCGGAAGACGGAGCTCGTGATGATGGCGTACCTTGACTGGTGGCTGATCTGGTCGGTGCTGGTGTCGGAAACGGAATCTGAAACAGAATTCCTGATGCCTGTTCGCTTGTAGCGTGGCGATAATTATAGTCGAAACCCTGGTCCCTGGTCCCGGCTTCGACGGTTGCGCGCAAGCAGTATGGGTACGGGGAGTGTCGTGCGTTGTACTCAAAAAACACGGGCGGCAAGAGGTCGTGCTACCGTGAGGAACTACAGCGGGTTGCAAACTGTCTCAGAATCTACTTTCACTCCGGGATGAATCTCATAAGACCCGGTTGGTTGAACTCGCGCTAATTTTCAACTAATTGAGTTACCGGGATGCACGGAAAATTTAGTAACTTCGTTACAAAATGATGTATGACCCCTTCTCATTTTAAAGTAGCATAAAAACTCATCCCCCTTCAAATTATAGTTGACGTGTTTCATGGATGTTTTCAAAAAAATTTCAACTCCGAGATAATAGGTGTAGTAAGTTTCAAAATGAACGGCGCTGTATATACTCCTTGGTAGTTCTTGCAATTCCTAAACTGAACCCATTAAAACCACTTTCATCATTAACTTTTCATTGAATCACTTAGATGAAAGGCAGCTATTTTCTGGCACAAATAGGTACGCGAAAGGGGAAACGAAGATAAGATAATAATGAACTTTTTGTGAACGGCTTCAACTGGTAAAATGGTGAAAAATTACTTTGTATATTTTCACCCTTTCTATTAGGCGGAAATAAACACTTAAAAATTGCCTGAATATTAAGGTACCTAATTCTGTGACATTTTCAAAATTAATTGGTTCGTCGGTAGTAAATGCTTTTCGCTCAAGTTTTTTCGTATATTACATAAATTTCTCTTTTGTCAACAAAATCGTTGTTCTATGCAATTTCTTAGAAAACACTTGGCAAAGAAGCTATACTCTAAAAGTCCATTAAATGTCGAGTTAAGTTAGAGCATAAAAATAGTATTCAAGGAAATACATTTTTACCTTTTTTTTTTTAAACCCTATAAGTGCTGAGTAAGGGTAATTTCATCTTGAAAACAATGGTACCTACCTAAATTATTCTTTTTCTTTTGTACTCTTGTTTATGAAATACGTTTCACGAACAGTAAAATTTACCATTCTATTGTATCTATTTGAAAAAGAACTTTAATTTCCATCCGTTATAGGAAGTTTCCTCTAAAAGGCTCCTGACTTAATCGAACTTTAAGCTTCTTAGTGAAAGGTTTATCCGATTATCCTTGGGACAGTGTCAGAATTGGCAGCTGCACCCACTTTGCTGAAATCGGGATCAAATTTTCCAGTTTCAAATTAAGATCTTATACGAAATTTTAGTAACTGAAAATTAATTGGTTCAACCAACCAGACATAATTAGTATTTCCTTTTAATTTTTGGCTGCCATTAATAGGGAAAGTCACGGGTAAGTCTATAATAATGCTTTTGTCAGAAGTGAGATTTCATTTATTTTGTGGAAATTCCAATATTTTTTCCATATTTTTCCAGTATTGATTTCTTCGTTACGTAATTAAATACCAATATTGGGAAATAAGGGCATCGCATTGAAGAGAATCAGCAAAAATAGGTCCGATAGAATGTAATTTTTTGCTCATTCTACTGAATCGATTTGGTTCAATAATTCATTTTTAAAAGAATCTTCAAAATAGCGCTATGCGATTTAGACTACAGAAAAATTGAATCCGGTAAATGCAAAGAAGCCTTAACTGTTTAATTTTCAATATAATCTTACTTTTGTACAATCCAAAAATAGTCTAGTGAATTCCAAATTACCAGGAAACTGTTTTGTTAATAAATAATCCGGCTCTCGAGGGAGAATTGGCATTTTGAATTCAACCACCGAGTGTCTGGAAATTGCCATTCCAGAAAATCGCCCACGTTCATAGTGGAGCGGTATTGACAAGTAGAATTCTAGTAAATACGCTCGAGAGGTTGCAACTAATTTGTACTTGACAATGTAGGAATTGTTTCTTGGAAGTTCTGGAATATTTTTCTCTGAAAAAGAAATGTAGAGTTTATTTGGATAAACTAATTACAAAAGCTGAAATAAACACTAATGAGAATATATTTTCAGTTTAGACGAAAGCCTCATCATCAACACTCTCTCATCAACAACTATTCCAGCGGTTAAAGAAGATTCTTTTACCGACTCAATTTCGTTGGAATCTTCCACGAGGCACATGAGCATCAGCGAATGCCCCACGAAGACGCCGAGTCCGAATCCTACCTTCATCAAGACGATGGAATGCTCAAAGTTCGCTACTTTGACCCGGATGCATCACGATGATAAGTATGTTGAATTACTATACAGATTGATTTAGGAGAGGAGGAGCTACAATTTTTGTAATTTCGTGTTCAATGTCGATGAATTACGCTTTCGGCGGATAATTATTTCAATGAATAGCGTATCAATTAATTGTAATTTGAATGTGTAATATAACGCCTGAGTCATAAGTACCGAAATACTAAAAAGGTGAGGCAATTGATACCCACCACAGAGACTCTACAATACAGAAACTCGATCTTGACTGCACTTTGATTTATTGGGAGTTTTAGTTTCATTTTCAACATTGACGAAGCACCATTTCTGATCCTGAGATATAGATTTCAGATTTGTTTCATTCGATAAAAAGACGCTAACTGATTTTTTCTGAAAGTTTGAAGATGCTATAATTTCTTGAAGTGTTTTTCAGAAGCTTTTAAAAGTGAATTATTAGGGATTTCAGTTGTATTTTTAACATTGACGACATAGCATTCAATTTTTGAGTCTCAGATAAGCTTGAGATTTCTTTCATTCTATGAAAAGACACTAATTCATTCAAGACGTTTGAAAATGTTCTGATTTTTTGGAGTATTTTTCAAAAGCTTCCAAGATTGATTTTTTAAGAGTTTTACTTGTATTTTTAACATTGCCGTAGCATTTCATTTCTGAGCGGCAGCTAGACTTTAGAATTGTTTCATTCTATAAAAAGACGCTTATTACTTGATCTTGAAAGTTTAAAGATGCTCTGCTTTCTTGAAGTTCTCAGAAGCTTCCAAAGTTCCAAAAGTAATTTATTAGGAATTTTACTTGTATTTTCAATATTAACGTAGCATTCTATTTCTGAGCCTCAAGATAGACTTCAGATTTTTTTTTATTTCATAAAAAGACTTCAACTAATTGATCCTGAAAGTTTGAACATGCTTTGATTTCTTGAAGTATTTTTCAGAAGCTTCCAAATATGATTTATTAGGAATTTTACTTGTATTTTTAACATTAACGTAGAGCAATACTATTTCTGAGCCTCAAATAGATCTCAGATTTATTTCATTCGATAAGGAGACGCTGTAGCGTCTGCGCCAAGTACTCTATTATTTAGATAGATGGTAAATTGCGAACGGTCGTATGTGATGGTAATTATTTCCTTGGACAGCTACTGTGAAATAAAATTGTGGGGGCGGGTCTATTTGCAAGTGTGAGTGTAGCGCTACTTTGGTTTTCCGGTAAGAAAGCGGTCGGTTCGGGGTTTTCGGAAAACTCGGGCGCCACCCTTAGGATTAAAGTGGTTAAGGGCCCACGTGCACTAGGTAGCTTTTAAACAGTGGAGACGGAAAAACCAGAGGTCTATGCGCATTTTCCCCAAAATAAAACACACAATATCCAACAGTGTAGTTTTTAATAATTCCCAAAAGTAAATAACAATACGAAACGGATGAATGTGAATACGAGGTAGCGTGAATGAAAATTAGAGTGAGTGCGAGAGAGTGAGAGAGTGTGCGAACGAATACTGGCGGGTGAATTACGTAAATGAGAAGCGACGGAAATGAAAGCCCCACGGTACGGTGAAAACGGTTAGATGACGGTAAAATCGGAAAGAAGCTCCAACGGACATTAACGGTCGGTTCCGTCCTTTCAGCGCCGGCTTGGTTAATTAATCTCGCTTGTTAATAATCTGGTAGAGCGATGAGCACTTGCTACACTGATACGTAAGGACAGAGAGCGCCACCGTGTACGTATTCCAATCACATGGCCCCCTCGTGTCCGTCCTGGAAAGAAATAAGGTAAACCTCATTCAATCCAGGTACGTCGCAATGTATAAGCACCTCCCTCATCCAGATTGTGTGGGAGCACCTATTCCAGATAGAGCGATAAGTACTGCTATACCGATACGTAAGGACAGAGAGCGCCACCGTGTAACGTGTTCCAATCACATGGCCCCCTCGTGTCCGTCATGGAAAGAATAGGGCCACCGTGTACGTATTCCAATCACATAGCCCCATTCAATCCAGGTACGTCGCAGCATATAAGCACCTCACTCACCTGGATAGGACTCGGCAACGGTCGGTCGGCAACGGTCGGATCGGCGCTGACGGGTCGGAAACGGTATTAGCAGCTTACCTCGGTATCGGTAGGTAGCTGCTGGTCTGGTCGGTACGGCGGACGGAATCAACTGTTCTTGCCCGTGTTCGCTAGTTTTATAGAAAAATCCCGGCGGGGGAAACGCGTCGGTAGTAGGAATTGCTAGTGGGAGAAGCAAAGGCTCGAAGCACGTCGCGCGAAATTGTACCGAAGCCCGTGACTGAAACGGAATCAGCTGATCGCGAAAAGCAAGAACTCTCGGAAAAGCCCATTTTCCATGGACCATTTATTAGGAAAATAGGTTAAATGAAATCGCGTTATTTTATTAAACAGTTTCAAAGAAAGAACGGAAATTGTAGTCAGTCGAATACGGAAATACGGAAAACTCTAGTAACGGCGTTACAAGAGAAACAACTGATGTACGGCTATCTTTTGATAAATATACTTTATTAATGAGAAAATAAACAGAGCTTTTTTAATACAATGGTGCAATTTTTAATACCCTAATCCAACACATTTCTGAAATAAAAATAAACAATTCTAACTGATGCTAACTTACAGCCATCTGTATACTGTCTCTGAGCTTGCAAATAAAATGTTACAATCAAAACCCTTGTACTTAAATAACTCTTTTATAGAGCCCTACTACATTAGGTTACAATATTTTTAACCAAAACTCCTACACGTCAAAACATTACAATTTTTAAAACGTCCAATTCTATAAGCGTATAGAAACCCCTGATTTCGCTTACTGCCAAATTTGTACAAAGCTTTAGTCAAAATTGAAACCTCAGCCAGAGTGAATACTATCACAAAACATCAAACATGTTAATTAATTTTTTACGATTTACACTCAGACATAACAATATTATCTCAATTCAATACTACACATTTAATTTAAATTCTTAGAGTTCAAAATATTTAACTATAATCATCAATTCAATGTTCATCAATTCTCTTCATTAGACAGAGCTAACTGATTCAATATTCATTAAAATTTCCTATTTATACTAAACAAAACAAAAAAAAGTATTCAAAAGTTCACTCAAGTTAATGACATATTTGCGAAGTTCCATTGTCACTAGAGTATTTACATGTAAATATCGCCCTTGTCACTTGATTATTCTAATTATTATTCTGTAATAGGGTAAATACACCCTGTATGGCATCTGATGGTGCAAATTGATTAGTTAGCTAATATTATATTATTATATTATTGCCGTTACCTAATTGTTAAGTCAGCAGGTACAATGACCGCTGTTCGCTTGTGAATATGCATTATGATATTAATATACATTATGAAGTAAACCAACGTAGTAGTTTTACTGAAGGCCTAAGAACCCCAAATCGTCTCGAGTTATTACATGGCGATCCTGCCAGGATGTTGGTTAATGTTGGTGAAAAATTCTAAAAGTAAGATATAATTGGGAGAAAATGGGAAAGCAGCAGTCCAAAATTGAGGAAAAAGTGGTAATAGCGCAATCTGGATCTGGCGATGCCACCACTAGAAGTCAAGATAGCCAAGGAATTTCACTTACAGAGGCGCTACTTATAGTTATAGTGGCCGTTGTTTTATTAGCAGTGCTCCATTTTCTCGTCAAAACATATAAGGAAAAAACAAGAAGATCTATTAGAAGGGAGATTATCAAGCACGAGTTAAGACGATCACAAAACAATCTAGTTGATGATGTCCAGGAGCAGTAGTTTCTTTTTTAGGTTTTTTTTTAGGATATGAGACATGCAAGAGTCAAAAAATAATACAGATACATGATACGTTGGCAATAGTGTAGGAACAAAGAAGTATTTCCATTGAATTAAGACTTTATGAGAAAAAAAAAGCTATTATTAAGTACTTAAAAGTTATAATTGAAACCATGTAAGTAATTTTATATTTTAGTGTTGTAAGATTGACATTTTTGTGTATTATTATTGATAATTGATAGCCAGTAAGGAAAATATGGACCCTTAAAACAGGTATGCGCGTAAATCTTTTTTTTTTTGGAAAGTTGATTTTCTTTTTTTTTTTGACTTGTTTATTAAATAGGCGATAGTGTTTTAGATAAAAGTTATGTTTCCTTGAAAAAAATAAGAAGTTATATTGTTAAATTAAATTACGAACGGCGCAAAACTCCAATTTTGACCAAAAACTCAATGAGTAAAAAGAGAAGTATCCTCGATTAATCAAAAAATAGACAACTCTGAACTTGATGACTCTGAAATCCGCTTAGTTAACGAATTACTAGTAAAAATTAATAAACTTTATGACGAGATTCTAAATTTTAAAGATAAGCAAACCGAAGCAGCAGAAATGGCTTCATTTGATCTTAAAGTTGCTGTTAGTTTGTTACCAATTATGGATGATACCGAGAATACTACGCAAAAACTTATCGACGCAATAGAACTTTACGATTCTATGCCTAATAATGAAAGTAAACATTTATTAATTAAATTTGTTCTGAAAACTAGGTTGTCAAACAGTGCAAAGTTGAGACTTAGTACTAGTTATAACTCAGTAAATGATCTATTGGGTGACATTAAAAAGCACTTTTTATCTATTAAATCTGATAGGGCTTTGCAATTGAAGTTATTTCGTTCTAAACAAGGCGATAAATCTATTGAAAGTTTTGGAAAAGATTTGGAGGAGCTATTCGTTAATTTAACAATATCTCAGGCAAAAGGAGATGAAAATGCTTACAACGTATTGAAACCAATAAACGAAAGGTTAGCTTTGAAACAATTTACGGATGGCCTTCGCAATCAGAGACTGAGTACGATAATGGCCTCGCGAAATTTTTCCTATTTAAAAGACGCGATTAGAGCAGCCCAAGATGAGGAAACAACATTTTTTAATAGTAACCCTCAAATTTATACCGCTTCTAGGAGAGGTCAAGGAAGATTTATGAGGAACTCTATGAGAGGTTCTTCTCAAAATAGAGGTTCTTATTCGAATA